TGTGCCACACCACCCTCCGTTCATCACGGAAAAGTACTGACAGCAGTAAGAAACAGTTTATGCGTACAGTTTCCTTCTCCTGAAAAGATCTTAACAAGCTGTTTTAACGTGGGAAGCAGCTGGGAAGCGTCACAGGCAGGCTTTCTGCATCCCCAACGAGGGGAGAGACCGGGATACAACACACAATTCCTCCCGTGGTTGACCGAAAGGCAAAAATCCCCCTTTTTAGAAAGGGCAGAGCTGAAATCACCGATTATTGCACCAAGTGGCCAGGTCTGCTTTGCAGCAGGCAAGTCCAATGCACGTTGCTTTCCAAGGGATCGATCCAACCGCTCCCGCTGAGCGGATGGACGTCCGGGTCCAACTGGGAGCGCTCCGACTGCATTGAGCGTTTCGGAGAGACAGCTGACGAATTAGGGATTCACTTCAAGACGTGCTTAACTAATGAACTGGTCAGCTATCAGAAGTGTGCGGTAAACTGGCGAGAGGCCTCTATGTTTTCTCCTAACGATAGGATGCTACCAACTTAATCAAAGAGAAGCAACTCGCAGCACCGAAATAACCACGGCAGTGCAATCACTTAACGGTGGTGCTCCTTCCCGGTACCTTGTCCAGGCTCTCACGGCCCTTCCTTATTTTGTTTTATACTCTTTAATTTCTGAGCTCTTAAGAAAATGACTAATTGATTTGGAGGGAGCTTCACCTGAATAAGAAATGGCTTAAAAATCGGTAGCAACCTAAAAGTTGGTCTCAAGGTCTCTCTTAATGAGGTGAATTAAGAGGTTCAGGTCTACAAATTAAGTATCTTAAATAACAAAACCAGCCCTTCGGTAGACTATATCCAGTGCTAACCAGCAACAAAAGGACCACATCCTGTGACCCACACTTGAATTATTTTATCAGAAGAACTGCATGCTCACAGTTCAATAGCAGAGCCTGGACTGAAAACCACGTACTGTTTCTTTTCCTTTTCCTTTCTTTTCTAGAAATCTGAAGATCTATGCAACTGTTTAGCCAGGAAACAAAATCTATATAAACACACATACTCATATTTAGTACCCAATCAGGACTTTCAAATCTCTTATTTAAGGTATGCCTGCTTATATGGAATTTCTCGGATCATTCTCAGCTGTCGATCACACGGGAACCAATTTGCCGCCGTTTCCACTGTGCTGCAGCCAACATCCACATGTGCAATAAATTCAAGGAATCGGGGATTTTCTCTTCGCTGCCACCAGCAAGAGAAAAAACCGCTTTTCCTCTCGTGCTCACCCAGAAGGTCTCTCTGAGCCTGCTGGTTAGCGGACCCCAGCGGAGCCGGTAACGCGGGACCCCCCTGCAGCCCCGCCGGGAACGCCCCTCCTTCCGCGGGGAGGACACACGGGGCGTCAGCAGCCCTTGAAGGAGGGAGGCAGGAAACCAAGCGAGCACGCAGGAGGCCCAAGCAGCATTTACCTGGTTTATACTGGTACACTGGCCCTTCGCTGGAGCTCTCTGTGAAGCCTGAGTTTGCATCGGTTCCTTCGCCCTCCGAAACGCTCTCGGCGCCGTTCCGCACAGGTTCTGCTTCCTGCTCGCCGTTTTCTTCCACAGGTTTCGATTTTTTAAGTTCAGAGGGGTCTCTCTCCAGTTGAAACCCATGGCTCATTTTCTCCTGTTCAGATTCAAGTACTTTATCACCTGAAAGTTCCTCTTCCACTTTAGGCTGAAGCACAGATGGGAAAACACAGAGGTTACGATAAAAACACCCTGCCAAAACGCGAAGCGCGCAAAACGTCTCTTCATTTATTCACACGGCATTTTTGCGCGTGGCGGGAACACACATGCATCTTAAACAGCAATACGGAACACCACACAGAACAACCGGTTTAAAAAAAGATTATCTTTAAAAAAAGATTCATCGGTTCGTTCCCGGAGCTAACCCACCGATAATTAAAAGCGCAACTGGAAAGACTTGGCGTTGCCCGCGACATCCCCAGGGGCTACTGGGATCAGATGGAAGGAACTTAAGCCCTACAGCGTGGCAGCCACGAGCAATTCCAGCCTGGAAAGACAACCTCGCTTCTCCCCTCTCCCGCGGCTCATCAGCTTCTTTAAAGGGCGCACCGTGCTCGTTTTGGGGGATCCTTCTTTTGAACGTGCGCTTCCTGCTGCTAACTGCAGCAGATCCCATTAAAGGCGGCAACGCGACATACGGCCACCATTTCAGCATCTCGGTTTCAGGAAAAAGCATTAATAGTATCCCTGGCTGTTCATTTTAGAGCTCTCCAAGGACACAGCCTTGCTCTGCATTCAGAGAGGAGGCGTCTGCAACGCGCTTCTCCTGGGAGAAACCCCAACGCGTCTAAGCATCACCCAAAGGAAAGGCTTAATCGAGGGTGCTCCGGAAGAGCCTCTCGACCCTCTCGCCTCCCTGCCTGAGGGCACCTAAAGCATCCCAAAACGCTTTTTGCAGATTTTTCAAGGGAATACGCTGAAAAATTAGCATCGGCGAAAACGCCGAGTGGTCCAGGAGACAAGACCCCTCCGATAAACGACAAAGAAAACACACAGAGTATAAACTCGCTGGCCCAGCCCCAGCGACGTCTTTCGCTCTCTGGCTTGAAAACGAGCACAGGGATGCTTTTAATTTCCTTGGATGACCCAATCTTCAGCTTTTCCGCTGCGCGCAGACCAGCTGCCGCAGCGCGATACCTGGCGCGGGAGCATTTTAAGCATGTGTTCCCCCCCAAACAGAGGGGACAGCATCTGCGTAGCCTTCGCAACGCGCAGGCGAGCCTCTCTGCTGTTTCGGAGGAACCGCGAACGCCTGCCTACGCAAAGGATGAAGCACGGCACTAGACTCAAGACTGACTGCAAAAACTCGCTTTCAGAGCGGAAAGCTTCAACGATGTCTGTGGTAAGGGAAAGTTGTGGAGGAAATAGCAGCCGAATATTAACTGGGGAGAAACGTGGAGTGAAGCAGCCATGCTGCGTCTGCGTCACATCTGGCCCACATCAGGTTTTTTACAGTTTTCAGACAGGGCAGCCTGAATTTTTACATTTTTACTCTCTTAACCCCTCTGTGATCTGTTCTAACCCCAATTTCACCCAGGATATTAAACTAAGAGGCTCCTCCTGTAACATTCCTACCAGAACAGCAACACGGGAGATTTTCATTACTCATCTGATTACCGTGGAGGTGGTTTTGCCTGAAAGTGTCAACATTTTCTTTGCCCAGCTTCTCTGTCAGGTGGTCACACGGAGAACTAACCTTCGGCCGTGACATCACAGTGACATCACTGTGCAGCCGCAGAACCTGCCAAGCGTCACCACGTGGCCTCGGGGACCCAAACCGGGGCAGCGCTCGGGGATTCAAACTCGCTTTTATCTCCTCCTTCACTGGGAGGACAGCAGCGACATGTTCTTAAGTGTTGGGGGTCGCTAAATTAAGCGAGAACGGAGAAAGCTTGAAGAGCTTCAACAGGGAACAGACTAAAACCAGTTATCTAAAGGATGCTGCGGAATATCACAGCTTCTCTACAACTACCTGAAAGGAGGGGGCAGTGAGGGGGGTGTTGGGCTCTTCTCCCAAGTAGTTAGCGATAGGACGAGAGGAAATGGGCTCAAGCTGCGCCAGGGGAGGTTTAGGCTGGAAATTAGGAAAAATTTCTTTACGGAAAGGGTGGTCAAGCATTGGAACAGGCTGCCCAGAGAGGTGGGGGAGTCCCCATCCCTGGAAGTGTTCAAAAAACAGGCAGATGTGGCACTTTGGGACATGGTTCAGTCTGGTCTACCCTTGATGGGTTTAGGTGGGCTTGGTAGTGTAGGTTAATGGTTGGACTGGATGATCTTCAAGGTCTTTTCCAACCTAAACGATTCTATGATTCTCCCCAAAAGGCTCTGCCCTGGATCCTTGCGAGACGACCGGGAAGCAACGTCTCGAAAACACAGTTTCATGAGAACGGCAACATCGTTAAATTTGGATAAAGGAAGACTGCGGTTCCCTCTTACCTCTGTTTCCGCCTCTATCACCTCCTCAGTGGCTTGGGTCCGGTCTTTTGGTTTCTTCCACGTCTTTGGTGCAGTTACAGCTGTTTGGGCTGCAATATAAGTGTACATCTATTACAACACTAAATTACACAGAGCAAATTTGGCCGGGGGCGACGCGCTTCCCTCTCGCGCACCGGTTTTACGTCCAGGAAAACGAAGCAGTCGCAGCCTTGTGGAGGATTCAGCTTGATATAACCACTTTTTTTTGTTTCAATGCGGTAATAACACAATCGTTAGCGTGCCATTAAAACACGGTAATTGTTTTACAAGTTGCTCGTTCAAGCTCGAAATGGTACTTGTGAAAGCAAGGGGTTTATTACCAACAGCATAAGGATCATGCAGGGCAAAAGAAAACCTTCAGAAACGGATTTTTCATTGAAAGATCAAGTACTGGCTAGGAGTGAAGGTTGTTCTCAACATATTTTTCTCGAGGAATATTATAAGAATTAACCATCATTTGGACCATAACCATAAACAGGTCAAAAATTGCAGTATCTCACGCAAAAGGACAACTCCTCCGATCTTGCAGCACTGCCGGCTCTCCTGAGCTGGACTTATATTTCAATTTAAAAGCAGGTTAACAACTCCACCATTCATTACTTTCCCTGGCCAACTGATTCAAAGAAAACACCGTCTAATAATTCTAAGATCAGCAGTGATTTACTCTAATCACTTTTTTTCCCCGCCCCCGAAGGGTAAAAGAAACCACACAATGTATTAAGGAGACAAAACCATTAATCCAATGTGCTCGTAATTTGTTGCAAGTGCTACCAGCTTAAATTCTGATACCAGGCACGTACGTGTATTTAACGCAGGGCATAAACAGAATTGATTTCGTGATTGAAGTTTGCTGCCGAGAGATTTCCAGCTCAAGCCTTTGGTTTCTAGCAGATACTATGGAAAAAAAAAAACCCACAGTGTGCACTTATCACAATAAAACACAATTTTGAAAGGCTCTTCAGCTACGGATAAATGAAAAGAGTGTTAATAATGGCCTATTTTGTTCCTACGGGCAAAGAGGAAACTTGGATTTGTGACATCCCCGCTGCCCCAAAAGATACGTAGGAGCCTCAGCGGCGTCTTAACAGCGTTCGCCCGTTTCGAGGGTGACCACGGGCTGGCAGGAACACTGCGGGCATCACTCCAGTCAGCACGCCGCCCCAGCCCAGAACGCAACAGGAGCTATCGCCGCTGAGAAAAGATTTTGATCTTCGTGCTAAACACCACAAAAGCAAAGGTTAATTTAAAAAAAAAAAGAAAAAAAAAGAAAAAAAAAAAGAAGGAAGGGGGAAAAGAAGGAAGGGGGAGAAAAAGGGAGAAAAGGGAGGGAGAGAAGGGGAAAAAAGGGGAAAAAAGGGGAAAAAAGGGGAAAAA